GCCTGGGGCGGGCTGGCCAAGACACCCGGTCCCTCGTGGCCTTCAGAGGCCCAGACTGCCCTGGTCACGCCGAGTCAGACCCACACCGCGTTGCCCAACTTGGTGTGAGCAGGTAGTTCGTGCAGACAGCTGTGGCCGAGCCGGCAGTCACGCCCCTACCACGTGCCAGGCCCAGGCGGAGGCTGCAGGATGGATGGGGCGTGGCTCCTGACCCCGTGCAGCCAGGAGAGTGAGGAGGGTGAGGATGTGGACGGGACCTGTCACCGTGTGCCAGGCTAGGGTGGAAATGTGCCCAGCCCGGCAGGGATAGTGCGGCCGGCATGGCACCACCCCGGGCAATGCAGCCTGGAAAGGCTGGCTTGCTAGAGAGGGGCAGGGGCCAGCCGGGGTGTGGTGATTAAGGCAGACGGATCCCATGTGGCCGACTGCATGGTTCAAGTCCCAGACCTGGAAGCTTGAGAAACATGCTGGCCACGTGTGTGTGCACGCCCTAAGTCCTCAGAGGAGGGAGAAATGGAGGAGAGGTTATGGCGTGGCCATCCCCACCACCACCCTGCCATCCCTCAGCGCCATGCCCTCACCCTGCCCCCCTCTGGTGAGGGCAGGTTCTGCAGGGCTGGCCCACATGGCCAGGGGGGTCCACGGTCTCAGCAGAGGCCTCCCTGAATGTGGCAGACGTGCCTGTGCCACAGTCCAGGCTTGGAGGTTGGGGTGGCTCATGGAGTCAAGGCCGCGGGGCTCTCTCATCCCGCCTTTCTCTCACTCGCTTCTTCAGTCACGGAAAAAATAAACTTCTCTTTTTTCTTTTTTGGAGAGGGCTTTTTTTTTTTTTTTTTGCTATAGGGCACATGGCAGAAAGACAGAGACAGACAGAAAGCGAGAAATCTCCCCCCAGGGGGGATGGTCACGCTGCAATCCCTTCTCCTCCATTCTCCTCTCAGGATCTTGGGCATGCACGCACATGCGCCCGGGGTGAGTTTAAGCCACCCGGTCCGGTACTCGAGCTGCGGTGGGCTACATGGGAGTCCAGCAACATAGCCATTACACCAACTGCTGGTCCCCCTTTCTTTTTTTAAAGAGGAGGGCCAACTATACAGTTAAATTCCCACCCCAGGGACTTGGAAAACACCCCAGGCCTGTGTGTGCACGTGCCCCAAATCCTGACAGGGTAGAGAAATGGGGATCGGATTGCCGCATGACCGCCCCATTGAGCACGCCTCTACGTCTGTCGCTGTTTCTCTCTGGTAAGTGCGTGCACCCTCTGGCCAAAAACAAAAATTAAAATGAGAGAGAGAGAGAGAGAGAAAGGCAGAGCCAGGTAAAATCCTGGGACCGTGCTGGCCCACCCTCTGCGCCTTCAGTACCAAGTGCCCGGGAGGCTTTCAAAGGCGCAGGCCCGGCCCAACCCCGAGTGGTGGTGTTTTGCAACACTTCCTTGGTGGCTCTCTTAGGGCAGCCTCCGGTGACAGCCAGTGCCCTCGCGGGAGTCCAGCGACATAGCCATTACGCTAACTGCTGGTTCCCCCGAGTGGTGGTGTTTTGCAACACTTCCTTGGTGGCTCTCTTAGGGCAGCCTCTGGTGATAGCCAGTGCCCTCGCTTTGCAGATGGCAGCTGCAGTGGAGACCGCCCAAGGTGGCGAGTTTCAGGGTGGCCTGGCTAGGAACCCAGGTGTGTGGGAGCTAATCTAAGGCTCTTTCTGGAGCCTTCTGAATGGTCCTCTGCCAGGAGGCGGGCCTAAGAGGGAGAGAGCCCCACCCGTGGACGGGGGAAGCAGCGGGCGCCGCGTCTGGTCTGCCCTGTCCAGACAGAGCCCTCTCCCTCTCTCCCTGCCCTCCCCGCATGTGCCCTCTGACAGATCACAGAACCAAACGATAGGGATTACAGAGACAGAGAAGAGGCAGAAAGGACAACCTCGCAGCCTTAGGCAGGGGCAGTGGAGCCCCGCCCAGCTGACCTTCCTGTTTGCAGCTGCTGCCCTTCATGCCCTCAGTCGGTCGGGGAGGCTGCGTCCTGGCCCTACACCTGGCAGGCAGGCTCTCACTCCCCGGGTCCCGTCACCCTCGTGGAAGGTTCTGGAGCAGAGCTGTTCCTCATGCCCACTGCACAGAGGAGGAGGCAGAGGCAAGGGTGGTGAAGCCATTCTCCTGAGCTCACACAGCTAGGAGGGGCTGAGCCAAGGCCTCCAGGGCCTCGGGGCCGTGTCCCAGCCAGGCCGGAGCCAGACAGGCCCTGCCGTAGCAGCTCCTTCCCCCTCCTGTGGCTCCTCTGTGCCCGGGCTGGAACAGGCGCTCAGCGGTGCGTGTGCAGAGATGAGCCCACAGGAGGGGGAAGGACGAGCAGGTGCCGGGACGCACCCTCCGCTCCCCAGCAGCCCGCGAGGGTTCCGCGGTCTCCCTGGCTCTGTGCTGCTCAGAAGCGAGGCCTGTGCTGCCCAGTGCCTGGCCGCCGGAGTGCAGGCGGGGCTGCCCGGCCTGGCTCTGCTGCCTGCAGAGGAGGCTCTTCCCTCTGGGCTGGTGCTCTGGGAGCCGTGGATGTCAGCCTGAGCCAGGGCACTGCCCTTCCGCCTGTGCCTTTCCCTGACCGTGCACGTCAGAGTGGCTCCGAGGGTTCTGACCGGCGTCCGTCCTCCTCACGGCTGGATGGTGCTCTGCTTCGGCTGCACCCATTGAAGCGGGCCCCGTTATACCCTTGTGCAGCCATGCACTCAGGGGGCCGCCTACCAGCGGGACATTCTAGGTGGTTGGAGGGTGGGTGCTCTTGATAGTTTTAAAAAATATTTATTTATTTAATCCCATTTGTTATTATTTTTAAAATTTTGACCAGAGAGAAAGGGAAAGCGAGAAAGCAAGCTGCCAGGTCCAAGATTCAAACCGCAGTCGGCCATGTGGGAATCAAGCGCCTTTAACCGCCACGCCACCTGCCAGCCCCAACACCCTTGACATTGTGAGAGCTTTGCCAAGTTGCCCGGTGGCCCTCCCAGCCGCCGCGAGGGAGACGCGCGCCCACCACAGTGCCCACGGCCTTTTACTTTGCTGACCCGGGGGGCGGCCACGGCGGCTCAAAGGCTTCCTGGGTCCTTTCCTTTTGGCGGGCCGTGTTCAGCTTCAGGAACGGGGCGGGATGCAGGCGTAGCGAGCAGCTTGGGGCGCTGTCCCTGATCAGCACCCAGCACCCAGGCCGCAGCAGAACAGCCCCGGCGTGGCCAGATTGGAGGGAGATTAATCCCAAGGATTTTAATTTCAGATAATCAAGGCATGGCTGTCCAGTGTATGTTCCAAATCCTGCACAGGGCGTACTTACATCAAAATAGTGTGTGTTTATGGGGCCCGCCCCGTGGCGTAGTGGTTAAGGCGTGGCTCCAGCCTCAGACCTGGCAACCTGAAAGGACACCGAGATGCTTGCTCCTACGTGCCCAAAATCCCGAGAGGAGATTGGAGAAGGGTTTGCAGTGAGGCCTCCCTGGAGGCGCTCCCTCACTCTCTGTGTGCCTCTGCCTCTCTGGTGAGCACACACACCTTATAGGAAAATAAATTAGAATTATTTGCCCGTTGTTTTAAAAACTTGCTATTAGGTCTCATGTATGAGAGAGAGGAAACAAGCTGCCAGGTCTTGGACTCGAACCGCGGTTGGCCAGGCGGGAGTCCAAGCGCCTTAACCAACACACCACCTGCTGGCCCCTTTATAGAAAACTTTTTTAAAAGAAAAAGAAGCAAAGAAACATGTTTATCCGAAATGCAAGTGCATCTGGATGTCCTGCGACTAATCCTGGCCCAGCTGGCACCGTCTGAACACACTGGTGGTTGTCACAGCTGGGGCAAAACCGTGCCCACAAGCCAGGGTCACTCACCCCCCTTGGTGCACAGGGCAGCCCCTGACCAGGAGCATGCCGGCTGTCCACCCCACCCCGGCTGAGGAGCCCTGGGCCTGCAGGGGCCAAGAGCTTTGCCGCATTCTCTGACATCAGCTCTCAGTCGCCCTCTGAGCGAGGCCTGCAAGTTCATTCGAGGGTGAGGAGACAGGTTGGGAGGTGGGCCACCCCGTGGGACCTGCCTCTGCGACCCAGCACAGACCTCCCGGAGGGGCTGGTGCTGGGCAGAGCCAGGGAGCACGCCTTTCCCCGCCGCCGTGTGCCGGCCCTCCCTTCTCTGGCTCCTC